TGGCAGGCACTGCCCTGTAGCGGGCACCGCCTGCCTGTCCCGGCGCGGGAGGGGAGCGCCCCCTTTCGCGCTCCCGCGCCCATGGGCGGGCAGGGCGCGGTGCCGGGGCAGGGGGCTTCGGAGGAGTTGGAGCCGTCGGGGCCAGGAGCAGGGGCCTAGGTGTGGAGGCAGCAGGAGATCCTGGGGGCGCTGGGACCCCCGCGGGCCGGGTCCCAGGGGCCGGGGCATTACCTCTCTGCCCCGTCCTCAGAGCAGTCATGAACCCCTGCCTCTGCCCCAGCCCTCTGGCAGGACCTGCCTTGTGCCCGGCCTGCTGGTGGAAGGGAGAGGGAGTGGCAGTGCAAGGAGGTGCTTCCTCACCTGGGCTGGGCCACTCCCAGGGAAAAGGTCATCAGCAGCCAGGAGCTGAGGCTTCTGTGTGGCTGCAGGTGCCTGGTGCAGACATAACGCCCCACTCCTCCAAGCTGCCCTGCAGGTTGGGCTTCATTCCTCTGCCCTGCTTGGTCCCCTGGGGAGAAAGCTGCACTGGGGGAGGGGGTGGCTGGGATAGGTGGTTCCCTGTGTTGAGCAAGGTAAGGCCCTGGGCTAGGGTGATTTGCAGGGTGGCCCCCAGGCTGCTTCCTGGCTGTTTTTCTGACCGGCTGTTTGTGTCTGTCCCACAGGCTGCACCCATGGAGCATGAACAGTGTCCCAGAGGTGGCTGAGCTGTCTTTCCAGTCGTTCCTGGCATCTGAGCCCAGAGGAGTCCATGGGGCCAGAGACTGTGGCAGGAACGGGAAGGATGGAGCTGGCTCCAGGGCCATACCACAATGGTGCTGAGACGCTGCTGCATGGCGAGTTTGGGATCTACCCCTCAAAGGGCACACGCTATGCTTTGAGCCTTACGTGCACGGAGCTGCACATCCAGCGCCTAGTGCCCAAGCCCGAGACAGACCAGCGGACAGTGGTAGCGCTGGCTGATGTGGTGGGCTGTCACACACTCCGAAGCCGGGTGACCACTGACTGTGCTGCCTACTTCACGGTCTATGCCTACCCACTGAAGAAGAGGAAGGTGGCAATGGGCTCGGGCCGGGCGCGCCAGCGGACAGCACGCACCTTCCAGGTGGATGGGGCTGACAACTACAATAAGAACCAGGCCATGGCTGAGAAGTGGGCAGTTGCCATCAAGTGCCTAGTGCTGGGTGTCCCTGTCTCCAGTGAAACGGGTAAGCGCTGTGTCTGCTGCTCATGCTGCTGCTTCTTCCTGGAGCTGAAGAGGACCCAGGTGTTCTGGCTCCCAGGCATTAGTTCCTTACCTGAAATCATGCAGTGTCTCTTGATGACTAAGAAAGGATGGAAATGGTCCAAAACTTGTCTCTTTTCAAACTGACAGCTGTGGGCGGTGCAGATCCAGGTCACGGAGGGGGCAAACTCAGGTGGCGTCAGGGTAGGCATGTGCTGGGCCCATGACCATTGGCAAGGTACTTTTGGCTGTGTGTCTCCTTTCACCTTCCAGGGTGAAATGTCTGATGGAGAGGCTAAGTTCCCTGGGGCCTGGGCAGCTGGTGAAACATGAGGGGAAGGGGGATTGTGCTTCTGTGTCTGCACCTAGGAGCTGACTTCCAATGCTCCCTTCCCCTCCGTTACCCCCTCCCTGACATGGCAGTGGGGTGTTAGTGTCCTTGTAGTATGTAGAAGAAACTGAAGCATGGATGGGAAGGAGCTTGTTGCCTCTTGAGAATCCAGAAGTCCTGGCTTCCATCTTCCTGCTCTGACTCAGCAGGCCTCACTCCCCTCCCAGAGTGAGGTTAGAACCCAGATGTCTTGGCCCCTTTAAAGGTCAGTTTGGTATAGCAGGACATGCTGAGGGATGTGGCCAAGCCAAGGGCTGGACAGTTTTGCAGTGAAGGGGTTTCTTGGCTCCCATGGTAGGGCACTGATTTCGGGGAGGGGGCTTGTTTCCTGGGAACAGGATGTGCCGTCTGGCCCCTTGTTTCACAGCATGGGCAGTGATGGAGTAGAGCAGCTTTTGCTGTTGCTGGAGACGCATCAGGTAGTGCCAGCTCCAGGGCTACAATTACTGGTAGTTGTGTTCCCCTCAGTACAGAGCCTAGGTGCACAGGGGCCAGGACACTAAAGTTTCTTGCCTAGAGTTGAGGGCTGGGAGCCAGCATGTCAGGCTCTGTCCCAGCTCTGGGAGGGTTTGGTGAGTTAGATCGAGGGGCTGGAAACCAAGAATACAGGGTTCTAGCTTTGGAAAGGGTGTTCGCAGTAGCTTTGTCCTACATGCCCACAGCTGCTTGGTATGGTGACCACATGTTCCAAAGTAATTACTGTGTTGTCTTTCCCTGCACCCATGTGGAGGCTGGGCAGGGCCATTGTCCTTGATGGGGAAATTGAACTGGAGGCCCACAGCCTTGTAGGGTGTAGGTGGTAGAGGCAGAACATGGCATGGGCTCTGCCCATGAGTCTGTAGGGAGCAGCTGGTTCAGATCCCACCCGCAAGATGCTACAGACATGCGTGTTCATCGATCTTTGCAGGCAGTCTTACGCCCTGTGCATAGTTACCCTGTGAGGGCACATGGAAGCTCTGTCCACCATCCCTGCTGGTAGTGTGGGAGTGGGCAGGTTGTGGGCTTAGGGGCTACCTGCTGCTGCCAATTGACACCCCCACATGGGTCTGCACACATGATGGCCTTCATTTCATGACTCGGTATCTACAGCTGGTGTATTGCAGTTTGTGGGCTTCAGAGTCAACACATTCATATTCTGGCAGAGATGGGATGTGCTGTACTGGGCCCAGGGATACCTGATTCTGTTTCCAGATGTTGTAATAACCCATGGGCAGGTCCTGCTGCCTATGAACATTGCCTCAGTTCACCCTTCTCATCTTAGAGGGCAGCGCTAGAGCTTTGCTTTGTGATTGCAAGGTCCTGATACCAGTGACTCTGGGCCTATTCAGCATGATGGCGCCCCTATCTAAGCCATAGGTAGTGGGTAGAAGGAATGTGGGGTGGGGGGGGGCGTTCCCCAGCATGTTTCATCTGGGAGGCATAGGGTGGGACCAGTCAGCTCCTCCCCTTACCCCTCATATTGTCCTGGGTATAAAGTGCAACCAGTTCTACCGATAAGATAATAAGGGAACTTCTGACTCAGAGCAAGGAACTGAGTCCAATTCTCCCCCCTCCAGCCATGGAAGTGGAGCTAGGAGAGAACCCAGGAGGCCTTATCCCCTGCCCCCCAGCTGAGACAGAACCCCAGCATCCAGGCTCCTGCCCCCTCCCCACCTGCAAGGAGGAGGAAAGTCGTGGCAGTGTCATGGTTTTCCCTTTGTGATGAGGTGATGGGAGGTGGGGGTGTCCCTAGTTTTATCTCTTCTCCCAGTACATCCGTTGTTTTCCCTGGAGCTTGAGGGAGGACGTGGGCCTCCCAGCTCTTAGGAGTAGAGCAGGAGCAGGGCAGGGGGGACATGCTGTGAGGAGCAGGGCAGGACTCCTCACTTGCTCAACTTAATGTGTGGATTGCTGCTCTTTGAAAGCCCTTGGTGCTTCCCTCCCAAGGTCTGGGTGTGAACTCGGGTGTCCTGGAAAACTGCCAGCCCAGGTAATAACCATTTGCTCTCAAAGTCCTTTCCTTTACGTGGCCTTATGTGCAGGGTTTGTCTCCATTTCCTGTTCTCAGCTGCACCAGTATCACCAGCCCCCAGTCTGCCCCACCCCAGAGGCAGTTGGATCTGACCTGTGTTGGTGCTGGGAGTGGTTTCTTCCTGTCCATGTGTCCCTTCTCTCTGCAGACATCAGCCTGAGCCTCCTGCCCAGGCCTCGGCGCTTGCTGCTGCTCCTGAACCCTTTTGGTGGCCGGGGCAATGCCCTGCAGTGGTGCCAGAGCCACATCCTGCCCATGATCTCAGAGGCTGATATCAGCTTCAACCTCATCCAAACAGGTGAGTTGAGGGGCGAAGGAGTGTGTAGGTGGAGTTGAGTCTGCGAGATAAGGGCTCTGTTAGGGAGGGGGGCTCCAAGGGGATGTGTAAGTGTGGTTCCTGATGTCCCTATCTCTTCTGATGCCCCAGAGCGAGCAAACCATGCCCGGGAGCTGGTGAAAGGCATCAGCCTGCCAGAGTGGGATGGGATCGTCACCCTCTCTGGGGATGGGCTCCTGTATGAGGTAACTCTCCTCCCCCAACTGTCTTAACTTCCTTCTTCTGCACTCCCCCGCCCCCTCCTTCCCAAGGCATCTTGGCTCTCAGCCCCTCCCCCCCTGCCATTGATACCCCTATCCATTCTGCAGGTCATCAATGGGCTGATGGAGCGGCCAGACTGGGAGCAGGCCATCACCATGCCGGTGGGCATCCTGCCCTGCGGCTCAGGGAATGCCCTGGCTGGAGCCATCAACTTCAATGCTGGGTAGGAGCAAAGTAGATGGGGGCACAGAGTGCTGGGGCAAATGGGGAGGAACATTGTGGTGCAGGATGGCTTGGTACAGGGTGGGGGATGCCTGGAGGGTTGCGGGGTACAGGATTCTACGAGGAGTGGAAGGGCTGAGCAATTGGGGATTGGGATGTGCCAGGGTCTCTGGGCCTGTTACTTTCCAACTCCCTTCCAGCCCCTCCCTCTGTGCAACGTTGAGGTGGTTTTCCCTGCCTCCCCCTACACTGCTGTCTTGTCCTTGGGAAGGGGGTGCTGCAGGCAGCCATTCCCATCCCCCAGCTTCAAATGGGCTGGCTGCTGCCTCCTGACCTCCAAAAATTCTTGGTAACCCCTCACCCCAGCATTTAACCCCCTTAACATCTGCAGGCTGGAGCAGGCAATGGGCCTGGAGCTGCTGCAGAACTGCACAGTGCTGCTGTGTCACGCGGCCGTGGCACCCCTGGACCTGGTGTCAGTGACGATGGCATCAGGCACCCGCTGCTTCTCCTTCCTCAGTGTGGCCTGGGGCTTTGTCTCAGATGTAGACATCGAGAGTGAGAAATACCGGCGCGTGGGCTCGGCCCGCTTCACACTGGGCACCATGGTGATCTTTGCAGGCAGTCTTACGCCCTGTGCCTAGTTACCCTGTGAGGGCACATGGAAGCTCTGTCCACCATCCCTGCTGGTAGTGTGGGAGTGGGCAGGTTGTGGGCTTAGGGGCTACCTGCTGCTGCCAATTGACACCCCCACATGGGTCTGCACACATGATGGCCTTCATTTCATGACTCGGTATCTACAGCTGGTGTATTGCAGTTTGTGGGCTTCAGAGTCAACACATTCATATTCTGGCAGAGATGGGATGTGCTGTACTGGGCCCAGGGATACCTGATTCTGTTTCCAGATGTTGTAATAACCCATGGGCAGGTCCTGCTGCCTATGAACATTGCCTCAGTTCACCCTTCTCATCTTAGAGGGCAGCGCTAGAGCTTTGCTTTGTGATTGCAAGGTCCTGATACCAGTGACTCTGGGCCTATTCAGCATGATGGCGCCCCTATCTAAGCCATAGGTAGTGGGTAGAAGGAACGTGGGGTGGGGGGGGGCGTTCCCCAGCATGTTTCATCTGGGAGGCATAGGGTGGGACCAGTCAGCTCCTCCCCTTACCCCTCATATTGTCCTGGGTATAAAGTGCAACCAGTTCTACCGATAAGATAATAAGGGAACTTCTGACTCAGAGCAAGGAACTGAGTCCAATTCTACCCCCTCCAGCCATGGAAGTGGAGCTAGGAGAGAACCCAGGAGGCCTTATCCCCTGCCCCCCAGCTGAGACAGAACCCCAGCATCCAGGCTCCTGCCCCCTCCCCACCTGCAAGGAGGAGGAAAGTCGTGGCAGTGTCATGGTTTTCCCTTTGTGATGAGGTGATGGGAGGTGGGGGTGTCCCTAGTTTTATCTCTTCTCCCAGTACATCCGTTGTTTTCCCTGGAGCTTGAGGGAGGACGTGGGCCTCCCAGCTCTTAGGAGTAGAGCAGGAGCAGGGCAGGGGGGACATGCTGTGAGGAGCAGGGCAGGACTCCTCACTTGCTCAACTTAATGTGTGGATTGCTGCTCTTTGAAAGCCCTTGGTGCTTCCCTCCCAAGGTCTGGGTGTGAACTCGGGTGTCCTGGAAAACTGCCAGCCCAGGTAATAACCATTTGCTCTCAAAGTCCTTTCCTTTACGTGGCCTTATGTGCAGGGTTTGTCTCCATTTCCTGTTCTCAGCTGCACCAGTATCACCAGCCCCCAGTCTGCCCCACCCCAGAGGCAGTTGGATCTGACCTGTGTTGGTGCTGGGAGTGGTTTCTTCCTGTCCATGTGTCCCTTCTCTCTGCAGACATCAGCCTGAGCCTCCTGCCCAGGCCTCGGCGCTTGCTGCTGCTCCTGAACCCTTTTGGTGGCCGGGGCAATGCCCTGCAGTGGTGCCAGAGCCACATCCTGCCCATGATCTCAGAGGCTGATATCAGCTTCAACCTCATCCAAACAGGTGAGTTGAGGGGCGAAGGAGTGTGTAGGTGGAGTTGAGTCTGCGAGATAAGGGCTCTGTTAGGGAGGGGGGCTCCAAGGGGATGTGTAAGTGTGGTTCCTGATGTCCCTATCTCTTCTGATGCCCCAGAGCGAGCAAACCATGCCCGGGAGCTGGTGAAAGGCATCAGCCTGCCAGAGTGGGATGGGATCGTCACCCTCTCTGGGGATGGGCTCCTGTATGAGGTAACTCTCCTCCCCCAACTGTCTTAACTTCCTTCTTCTGCACTCCCCCGCCCCCTCCTTCCCAAGGCATCTTGGCTCTCAGCCCCTCCCCCCCTGCCATTGATACCCCTATCCATTCTGCAGGTCATCAATGGGCTGATGGAGCGGCCAGACTGGGAGCAGGCCATCACCATGCCGGTGGGCATCCTGCCCTGCGGCTCAGGGAATGCCCTGGCTGGAGCCATCAACTTCAATGCTGGGTAGGAGCAAAGTAGATGGGGGCACAGAGTGCTGGGGCAAATGGGGAGGAACATTGTGGTGCAGGATGGCTTGGTACAGGGTGGGGGATGCCTGGAGGGTTGCGGGGTACAGGATTCTACGAGGAGTGGAAGGGCTGAGCAATTGGGGATTGGGATGTGCCAGGGTCTCTGGGCCTGTTACTTTCCAACTCCCTTCCAGCCCCTCCCTCTGTGCAACGTTGAGGTGGTTTTCCCTGCCTCCCCCTACACTGCTGTCTTGTCCTTGGGAAGGGGGTGCTGCAGGCAGCCATTCCCATCCCCCAGCTTCAAATGGGCTGGCTGCTGCCTCCTGACCTCCAAAAATTCTTGGTAACCCCTCACCCCAGCATTTAACCCCCTTAACATCTGCAGGCTGGAGCAGGCAATGGGCCTGGAGCTGCTGCAGAACTGCACAGTGCTGCTGTGTCACGCGGCCGTGGCACCCCTGGACCTGGTGTCAGTGACGATGGCATCAGGCACCCGCTGCTTCTCCTTCCTCAGTGTGGCCTGGGGCTTTGTCTCAGATGTAGACATCGAGAGTGAGAAATACCGGCGCGTGGGCTCGGCCCGCTTCACACTGGGCACCATGGTACGCCTGGCTTCCCTGCACACCTACCGTGGACGCCTCTCCTACCTGCCTGCGCCTGATGGCCCAGCCCACCGCCCCATTTCCCGCAGCATTACTGTGGCTGCAAATGGGCGCTTGCCCCTGACGCGCCTGCCTCTGCACCGTGCTGTCTCAGACATGGGCTTGTGCGAAGAGCGCCAGGCCTTCCGCCACCGTGGACCTGAGCCCCCTGATGACCCTTCCCCATCCCCGGGGTCCCCCCCTCCTATCTCGGCCTCAGCCCTGCACCCCCAAAGCTTCATCTTTGAGCCGGCACCTGAGGAGCCGATAGGTGCCCCAGAAGGCGGGGGCATGGACACAGGCATGGGTGGGCCTCCAGATGACCTGCTGGTGCCCCTGGGGCAGCCAGTGCCCCCATCATGGGTGACTGTGGAGGATGACTTTGTGCTAGTCCTGGCCATTTACCAGACACACCTGGGTGCTGACCTACTCACAGCACCCTTCGCTTGCCTCAGTGATGGGCTTATCCACCTCTGCTTTGTCAAAGCTGGGGTGTCACGTGCCGCTCTTGTCCGTATTTTCCTGGCCATGGAGAAGGGCACCCACTTTGAGCAGGCCTGCCCCCACCTCAGCCATGTACCTGTGCGCGCCTTCCGCCTGGAGCCCCTCACACGCAAGGGCATCCTCACCGTGGACGGTGAGCGCGTGGAGTATGGCCCCCTCCAGGCCCAGGTGCACTGCGGCCTTGCCCGTCTCATCACTGGTGTTGCCCGCCTTGGGGGCTCCTCCTGCTGAGGTGGGGGGCGGGGGGTGGGGCTGGGATGCACCCATCCTCCATTGTCCTTCTGTCAGAGTCTGCTGAGCCATCAGGGCTGCACCCTCTCACCAGGACTTGACTGTCCAGCAGTGGGAGTGGGGGAGGGAGTAGCAATTGCCCTCCTCCCCTTGGCTGATCTGGTTGGAGGGAGACAGGGCGCATGGGGGTCCATCTTCCCTGTAGCTGCACCTCTAAGGGAGAGCCTCTTGCAGTAGGTACTGACCATGCACCCTCTCAGGTGTAGCGGGTAGAGGACCAGAAGGGACTATACTGTAACCCCCTGCCTCTGGCCTCCTGCAGGAGGAGGCAGGGGCAGATTGGAGGCCTCCTGCTTCTGTCTAATGCTGCCTATTTATTGCTTCGTTCCCAGAGAACCACCCACTGGATGAATGTAACTAATGTGCTCCCTGCCCAGTGAGGCAACGCGGGGTGGGGATGACGACACTAGGATAGATTTGGGAGTTGTATTGGGGTAGAGTGGGGGCCCCTGCCATGTGGGGGTGATGCTGAAAGGCATTAAATGTTTGGTCACCATGCTCAGCCCCTAGGATGTGCATCTCCCTGTACCAGCAGTGAGATGAGGCTGCTGCCTGCTGGGGCAGGTGAAGCTGGGTGATTGCAGCCCCTGCCATGCCAGTGGCAGCCCTCTGGGGTGGGGCAGCTTCCCCCGTCTTGCCCCTGGTGCCTTGACGGGTGTAACCAGTGCAGCTACAGTTCTCCACATGGAGGCAGAGGGCTGTGGGGGTAGTGGCTGGTGACTCCCTGTTTGTCAACTTTGGCTGTTTCCCAGTTCCCAGTTGTAACCCATCAGACTACTTGTCTCCCAGAGAGGGGATGCAACTGAGGCATGCTGGCTGTCAGTCCTCTTAAAATATTGACCCAACATGTTCTTTCCCTGTTGGTTTTGGGTGTTGGGGCTTGGCCCCAGGCTGTCATCCCCCCTCCCCCATGCCACTGTGCACAGCCTCCAAGTTGGGTCAGCTCTTACAGGCCCTTCCTGGGGTGGGGGCAGGGGAAGCAAAGCAAGGGGGTTGGGGGCAGGGGCTCAAGGTGGCCACCAAGAGGGGCAGGAGACAGTGTCCCGTACCATTTGACTTTCCCTTTGCCCTACAGCCTGCAGGGGGGGCTGGGATTCCTTTGCTTGAATCCCAAGAGCCTGTTATTCCCACAGTGGGTGGGGCTGAGGCTCAGCTTGCCCACCCATCCCTCTGCAGGTGGAACAGGAAACTGAGGCACGGGAGGAGTGAAGGCAGGTTAGAATGTAGGCCTCTGGTCCCTCTTTCCTTGAGCCCACTGGTTTGCTCTCCCCTCTGAGCTGGGGGGAACCCAGGTTTCCTGACATCCTAAAGCAAATACCCAGAATACAGGAGGGTGGGAAGGCAGGAAGCCTGGCACTCCCCTGGGTCGCTGCCTCCTGGGGTGCAGGGGATAATGTGCTTGACTCACTGTTGGTAGCAGGGGCTGGGGCTAAATGAAGCCCTGCGTGGCTGAAGGGCAGGACCTTGTTGGGCCATGGCTGGGGCACAGCAGGGTGGGGGGCAATCTCTGCACTGAGCCTGCACATTGTGCTGTTGCCTGCTAGGGCTTGCCCACCTGCTGGGATGGTGGTGGGGCAGCTGTCTGTCCGTCTGATACCTGTTCTGTCTGTCTTACCAGCTGCTACAAAACCCCTCACCCTGCTCCCCTTTCCCATCAACCTCATAGGTCCTTTCCCTAGGCAGCCTGCCCTTGGCCCCTGCCTAGCTACCCTGCTATCCCATGATGCACTTGGGGAGTGGAGTATTTTTGCCCCATCTTCTCTCCACATTCACAGGTCCTGGTGATATGCAGGTTTCTGCTCTGCCAGCTTCTGGGCTTGTAGGGTGGGGCCTGATCCAGCTGGGGCAGGGGGGTGCTGGGCAGTGTCCTGTCTCCTGTGCATTGCCTGTTAACCCTGTGTATGCTGCAGCCACCCTCACTGTTAACTCTGTCTTGTCCTCGTTATGAAGCAATTTAGACCTATGCAATAAAGCAATAGCATGAGCCTGTCCTGTGCCAGCCCTTCATTTCCCCTAGGAAGAGTGGGTGCTTTTAGGCCTGGCAGGGGGAGCCCAGGGCTGGGGTGGATAGTGGGTTGGAAGCGAGAGCAAACCAGCAAGGCTGGGAAAGGGGCAGCAGGGTGGTGCTGGACCCCTGGGCCTCGGCCCACAGGGCTCCTCTGGGAGAGGGCATCCAAGGGGAACATGTAGCAGGGGCCACTTCCTCCCAGGCATCCCCACGGATGTTTCTGTGCCACCCCCGCACACCAGCGCAGGGCCTGACTGTCACACACACCTATAAACACACAAACAGGGGACAGCAGTGCTGGTGGTACACATATCTACTCAGAACAAGACACCTGGAGCCTCCTTCTTGCCTGTCCAGTCTCTTTATTCATCCTGCTCTGTGCTGGGGTGGGGTGTAAGCCCCCTCACCACCCAGACTGGCCTCCATTTGTTATATAGAAAAGAAAAACTTTCCCTGCCCCCCACCCCCAGTGTCTGTACAAAATGCCCCTCCTGCCCTCCCACCGCCCCAGTACCCGCAGTCCCAACCCAACACAGCCACCCCCAACCCAGCACCCAGGCTGAGCTGGTGTGGGCATGTGCCCCCCCCCCCACATTGTTCAGTGGACACCCCTGCGGGTGGGATATGCCCCGGTCTCACTGGGCTGCCTGGGGGATGCAGGGGTCCTGGCCATGCCTAGGGCAGGTGGGATGGCATAGATGGCCAAGTAGTTTTACCAAAATATAGCTCACATCTCAACCCTGGCAAAGTACACAGGGAACCTGCCCCCCACCCACCCCTTGGCCGGCCAGCCCTGGGGCATGGTCGGCAAACCCGTTTGTACTGGTCCGGTGGGGAGGAAAGACATCCCCCCCACACCAAAAATATAATATGCACTGGGCAAGAGGGGGACCCAGGGCAGTAAAGTGGTCAGAGTGCAAAGGGGGGGTGGGGGGAGGAGATGGGATCTGGTGTGTTATAGCAGGGGGAAGGCTGGGAGCCAGGACACCTGGGTGCTATCCTAGCGCTGGGAGGGAAGCAGGGTGGGACAGGATGCCTGGGTTCTATCAGAGAGGTGGGAAGGACAATGAAAGCAAAGCTCTCATTATACAGAAAACAGGGTCAGTGTTTGACTAGTTCCTATGTACAGCTAGAACAGAACCCAGGTGCCCTGCCTCCCAGCAACACCCGCCCCCCCTGCTGTAACCCACCAGGTCCCCGCACCCCTGCCAGATTTCAGACAGAACTCAGGTGTCCTGGGCCAGATCCCTGCATGGTCCCTCCAGCCATTCCCAATGTGTGCCTGTTTTGGGAATCGCCTGAGTGTTGGAATACCAAATAGCCACCAGGGGGTGCATGGAGTTGTGCTGTAATTGGCAGCCCATGTGGGGAAGGAGGGGGTTAAGCCCCCAAGGAGCTGCAGCTCCTTGGGGCTCTGGACCAGTTGCAGCCCCGCCCCCCCATCATAGTCTCTGGGTTCCCCTTTTGTTCTCAGGCTTCTTAGTTCCACACCAGTGCGGTTGGGGCCATGTGGCGTGTGGTGGGCAGTGGGAAATGTCCACATGGGCTCATTGCAGCAGCAAGTGGGCACTGAAGCAGGTGCTTGTTGCAGCAGGGGGGCATCCATGTGATGTGCAGCTCGGGGGGGGGTGACCTCTGCTGGTATGGCCTGCAGGATGTGCTGTCCCCACAGCCACTTAGAAGATGGCCAACCCTACTGTAAAGCAAAGCACTTCCTTCCAGTGCTGGATGCTTAGAGGCAGGGTTGAGCCAGGACACATGGGTTCTGTCCCTGGTTCAGGCACCTCACAAAGTCTCAGGCCAGTCACTTAACAGTTCAGCAGTGAAGCTCCCTACCATTCACTCCCCAAGTGTAGTATCACAGGGGGAGACAGAGCAGGGACAGCGACTTCTCTTGCTAAGTGGCCTGCCAACCAATCAGAGCAAGGTGGTGGGGACAGGCAGAGCTGGAAGAATCAAATCCTCGAGGCTCCTGGCTCCACTGCTCCAGACCTCACTTTTCTCTGGAGCTGTTACAGAACCCAGGTTTCCTGGTTCCCAGCCTCTCTGGTCTAACCCACCAGACCACACTCCCCTCCTGGAGTTGGGAGGGAACCCAGGCATCCTGGCACTGACCCTCCCCTATTGGATCAGAGCTGTCCCCATCAACACTGGTCCCCATCCTCTTCAACGAGGCTTTGTGCCAATGTGTCCAAGCTGGGAAGGGGGCGCTGCATCCATGGGCTCAGTCTGCCCCTGTCCCTGGGTGTCTGTGCCCTGTGGGGCAAGCCTTAGAGTCTGCCAGTCCTAGGGGGCTGCTGCTGACCAAGTCCCGGGGGCCCGGCCAGCCCCCACCTGATCAGAGGGGGCTCCACTCCATGTGTCCACAGGGTGGGCAGGGCTGTGCCTACAAGGCTCCGTGCTGAGCCTCATACTTGGAGAGGATGGAGCGGTAGCGGGACAGCTCCTGGCGGATGGCAGCCACCTCCTGGCGCAGCACAGCATTCTCCTTCTCCAGGAAGGCCGCCCGCACCGTGATCTGGTTCTCCTTGAGGCGCCGAGCGTCCCGCGACCGCTTGGCTGCCTCATTGTTCTTGTACCGCCGGCTCCAGTACTTCTCATCCTATCAGGTGGGTGGGCAGAAAACCATAAGAGGGATGGATGGACAGAGTGGAAATGAGAACAACGGATGCAACAGAATCATGGGAGAAGGGATAGATGGACAGAGGATATACAAGGTGGACAATTGGATGGGCAGAGAATAAATGAAGTAGACAGACAGAATAATTAGTATGGACAGATGGATGGAAAGAAAAATATGGGACAGAAAATAAAAGACAGATGCAGGTAAAATGAAAGAGATGGACAGACAGCAGGGATGAGACAGACAGAGGGACACAGGCAGAACAAGGGGAAGGAAGAGAAGCCAGGAAAGGAAAAGATGGAAAATAAATGTTTGGGAGCAAAAAATGGGAAAAAGGTAAATAAATCAATGGGAGAGGAAGAGATTGAACGAGTCATACAAACCAGCCCAACCAGGCCCAGTTCAGAGCTGGTGCTCCATGCTCACCCTCTCCTCTCAGCTACTCCTCCCAAGGCTAGATTGGGGTGGCAGCCTTTAGAGGGGGCAGGTCTGCCCCAGCCCTACTCCCTGAACCAGCCAGTGCCCCCACTGGGGCAGATGGGGGCTGGCACCTGGCCTCACCTTCTGCTCCTCAGGCACCTGGATTTTCCGTGCCTTCTTCATGATGGGCTGGGGCTTGAGCTCCTCCTCGGAGAAGCGGTGCTTGCGCGGGTCAAAGGTCTCGTGCCCAGGGACGCTGGACAGCGCCAGGTCCGCAGGGTCAGGGTCAAAGTTCATCAGCACCTCCACGCTGTCAGGGTCCACGGGGCTGGGTGTGCTCCTGGACACAGGGGTCACCGGGCCTGTGGGAGGAGACAAGGAAGGGTCATGCCCACAGGCACCACTAACTCTGCCTCCTGCTGAGCCCTTCACCAAGCTCCAATAGCACAGCACCCCTAGCACTGGGGTCCTTCAGTCTGTAAGGGAGGACATGCCCCCACTCCTGCACCCTAGAGGGGTCTCCCATCTGTGTGCTTCCCTAGTTGGGCCCTGCTTAGCGGGAACTCTGTGGGGACAGAGTGGGGGGCTCCAGCCTGGCCAGTACTGGACGGTCTGCAGGGGGCCCCATCTTTCTCCCCAGGGCGCTGCAGACACACAATGTAAAGTTGTAACTATGCATAGCATCCTCCCCTACCCCACATCACCCTGGTGGCAAGGCAGGCAGGGGCCCCCAGGCCCTGCTAACTCCCTACCTGCTGACAGAAGGGAAACCGAGGCACTGAGAAAGAGGGCTGAACCAGAGTGTGAACCCAAATGCCCTGGCTCCCAGCCCCACTGCTCCAAACTACTAATCTCACTTTCCTCTCTGAGCTGGGATAGAACCCAGGCATCCTCGCTTCCAGCAACCCCATGTGCATTGGGTTGGGGTGCAGGGAAACCTATGCTGGGGAAACCCCGGGATTTGTTCCAACCAAAACCCAAGAGAGACCCCATGGCTGCTGGGGGAGGCAAGAAATGGGGGAGGTAGGGGAGATGGGGGAGCAGGATGGGTGAGGGGTGAACCCACTATCTATGTGCTCCCTGCCCCCGCCTTCCCGCTTCCCCCACCACCCCATGGTCCCCTCAGCGCCCACCTGTCTTGGGGCAGCCACTGCCTGTGCTGCCATCACTGGGCGAGGAGCAGGCTGAGGTGGTGGAGGTGCAGGAGGCTGGGCGGCTGAGAGCCCCTGCAGAGCCAGGAGCACTGGCTTGGATGCGGCTGGGTGAGGTGCCAGGTGGGCTGCTGGGGCTGGGGGGCAGCCCATTCTCCAGCAGGAACTCGTCCAGGTCAACATACTCCACCTCGCTGTAGGGCAGGGCCCGCTCCCACAGCAGGGAGCCCAGGAAGGCCCCATGTCCTACCCGGCCACCCCCCAGCTCTTCCTCCATCTTCCCCTCCTTCTCCTTGATGATGCCTATAGGAGAGAGGCAGCAGGTCAGGATGACAGGGTTTCATCTGAGCTTGTGGGAAGTGGGGAACAGGAAGTAGGGTAGTCTGGTGGGTTAAGAATGGCTAGGAATCCAGATGCCCCTGTTCTATCTCTGCCTGTCTGTAAGCTGTCCTTTCATATTGCTCTGGCCAGGCTAAAAGCCCAGAGGAGAAATTTATTCCAACCTGAGCAAGGGTTGTGTGAGCCTGCAGAGTACAGGATTAGCCATGCGTGTGGGGAAACAGTGAACACAGCTGTGCGTGCTCTTGTGCACATGTTCCTGTGCATGCACTTTCCACTCCTGGGCACAAGGCAAGCATGCACATCAGGTTGTATACACAAACATGTAGTCACTTGTATGAATAAACACAATTGTGGAAACATGCAAGTACTTATGCAAGCAAACACAGCTGCCTGTATATGCAAACAAACAATTACTTGTGCACAGAAAGATGCACTGGAGAACATGTATCTATTTGTGCACACATGCACTAATACCCAGGCCTGCACATGAACTTGCACAGCTGTTTGCAAGTATGCAAAGGGGTTGTGGGGCACATACATGTGTGAAGAGACTGCTGACTGCATCTATGTGATGGAAGGATCCAGAGGATGCAGTGGTGCAGCTGTACTCCACCTTTTGGGTCACAAAGCAGGAGCAGCTGGAGACTTATCTAAGATCTCCAAAAAAGGCAAGAATCTCCCTCCCATCCTGCTCTTGGAGCTCCCTTTGCCCCTAGGTCAGCTGGGGGCAGCAGCAGCAGGGGGAGAAGGGAGGTGCCTCTGAGCACAGAGGTGAAGGAAAGGGGTTGCTGAGAGCAGATGAGAGGGGGAGATTCTTACCCCATTTAGGGACTTTTGAAAATGTAAGTGGTCTGCTTATCCTAGTTGTGGGTGGGAGAGACTGGCAGTAGAGGAGTGCACCCAGCCCTGCAGTGTAGGTCAAAACTTCAGCACCCACTTTATAAAATCCTGGATCCTCCTACATATGACAATGATGATGGGATGGGAGGGCACACAACTGGGGGGAAAGGTGGGTGTCTAAGTGTTCAGGTGCATGCAAGTATATGAGCTCAAGGCTTTGGGGGGGGTGTTCACAAGTGACTGCATATGTATGCGTGCTCATGAGCCTGCAAAACATTAAATTCATATATGGGAGTACTGATATGTGAATGTTCATGTTCATTATGTTCGTATATGGGAGTACTTGTGTTGCGAATGTTCATGTGCAGGCTTGGGTATTAGTGCATGCGTGCACAAATAGCTACATGTTCTCCAGTGCATCTTTCTGTGCACAAGTAATTGTTTGTTTGCATATACAGGCAGCTGTGTTTGCTTGCATAAGTACTTGCATGTTTCCACAATTGTGTTTATTCATACAAGTGACTACATGTTTGTGTATACAACCTGATGCGCATGCTTGCCTTGTGCCCAGGAGTGGAAAGTGCATGCACAGGAACATGTGCACAAGAGCACGCACAGCTGTGTTCACCGCTTCCGTACACACATGGCTAATCCCATACTTCGCAGGATGTGTGTGTGTTCAGATGCATGAGTGTGTGAGCACACAGGCACGAGGTCTCTCGGCGTGCCATCAGCAAAGGAGCCTGCCCAGCCTTGCATGGGCATCTATGTGAGTGCATGGGGCAGTTCCCTGGATCCCTGGACCAGTCAGGTCCTACAGTCAGGTCCTCCACTGAGGATCCAGTGTCCATGCGAGCATACTTGGAGTTTAAATCTGATGGGACACGGAACCCCAGGATCACGGGGCTGTGGGAGAAGGAGCACCCCTCACCCTAATCACTGGCAGGCCCTCAGGCACAGGGAAGGGCCTGTGGGAGGGGTGGTGGCTGCCTGGATCCAAACCATGAAAAGGACAGAGATATAAAAAGGCAGATATAGATAGAGGACTCTGTATGGGGATGGGCTGGTAGTTCTGTAGGGAATGGACAGTGAAACAAGGCACTCTGTAGGCAGATGGACAGACAGAGAGATGGACAGAAAGATATGGGACATGCAGGCAGCAGGAGGAGCAGATGGGTGGATGTGGAGGATTGCCCCCCCCAGCAGGCAGCAGCCGCGCAGCCATCCTGGCCCACGTGCTGCTCCTCCCTCCCCCGCCCCCCCCACCCTGCCTGTAAACGTGAGGCTTGTTCACCTCGGGTGACCCTGGCTGCCGCACGATGTTGGACCTGCGGGCCTGACCTTCTGCGGGACCTCCTGCCTGGGGGAGACACGGGGAGGGACTGAGACCTGGTTGCGGGAAGGGGTCTGCTGAGCCAGCATGCGATTTATTTCATTATTTCTTTTTTTCCTTTTGCTATTCTTGCTGAGCTGCCTCGTCCCCGCCCACGCCAGCGCCGCGGGAGCGCTCTCTGCAGGGTCACGTGCAGGGACAGCCAGGAATAGAACCCAGGCGTCCAGGCTCCCAGCCCCCACCCCAACTTTAACTCCCTACACCCTACTCTGCTCCCAGAGCTGGGACAGAACCCAGGAGTCAAGGCTCCTGGCCCCCTGCTCTAAGCCACCAGACCCTCCTCAAGCAGGGACAGGATCCTGGAGTCCTGGCTCCCTGCTCTAACCCATCAGATTTCACCCCCTCTCCAGAGCTGGGACAGAATCCAGGCATCTCAAGTCATTATATTCAGGTGACTGCATCCCAGCTCACCCTACCTGTCCCCAGACCAGGGGTGCCCCCTTCACCCCAAAACAGGATGGGGTTCAATATGCTTGGCTTTCACTTCTGAATCAAAAACACCCCCTTGTGTCAAGTTGGGACTTACGTCATGAGGCAAAGGATCCTATGATTTATTTGGGGCACAGGCCAAAGCATTTTGGAATGAGCGGAGATGGGGTTCAGCCAAAGGATTTGGGGATGAGACAAGGCCTGGTGCAGAGGATTCTGGGATGGCCTTAAATGGGATTCTTAAGGATGGTTGAAGGAAGTGGGGACTAACACACAGGGTTCTGGGACTGCATGGAGAAGAGCATAGCTTGGCACCAAAGGGGCTGGAGTGGCACAAAGGACTCCGGGATAGCCCCAAGAACAGCAGGGGCTGGTGCAAAGGGGTCTGAGGTAGCTGCTGAAGGAAGCCGGGGGACAGTCCCAGGTTCTGGGTCACCACTGGGGAGAGCAGGGGCCCGATGCAAAGGATTCTAGGATGCCCCTGCAGGACTGGGGTGGGGGCAGGGGGCTGTCACACAGGATTTGGAGATGCTTCCCTGCCAACAGCACTGACATGGCACCTTCCTGGTATACCAAGGAAGAGAAAAAGGTGGGAGACTCCCCTGGGGAGATGTCAGGCTGGGCTCCCCCACCCATGTGCTGACACAAGGCTGAAGCAGGTGGCAGAGGCAGGAGGCCCAGCCTCACCCCATTCCTTAAGCCTGACTCTGCCTGGCGCACGTGGGGCAGGAGGCAGGTGAGGGCTGCAGGTCACGCCCTGTGCTGGGGAGCACTCAGGCCTGTCAGGGGCAGCAGCTTGAGAGCAAGATGCATCATGGCCCTGAGGTGACAGGGTGCTGCATGTGGGGATGGGGTGTCCCTCTCCACTAGCACATGCATGTGTGCGCGCATGTGGATGGGCACTACATGGCACTACCGGGGGCCTCTCGCTGCCAACTTGCAGCCCCCACCTGCTCCATGCCACCCAACAGCCTCACATGTACCGCTCTCTTCTCATTCACAGACACTGCCTACCCCAACAGAGGACTGCTGGTTTACCTCACTCCCACCCTGCAGCCCCCTGCCCTACTGGGGCCCCTCATTGCTAACCTGCAGCCCCACACTTAGCACAGCCTTGGAACCCCCAATCCTGCCAATACCCCTCACTCTTGACCCACAACCCCCTACCATCCCAGCCCTGGGCTCCCCCAACTTTGCGCTGTCCCTTGTTCCTGACCTGCTGCCCGCTGGGTCGTTCTCCAGCCAGCATCTGCTGGGATGGGTCGGTTCCCGCAGGGAGACTGGAGGCTGGCAGCCCAGGGCTGTTTGCAGAGGCAGGTCTGTGCCCAGTTTCCTGCAGAGGCTGCCCCGCCGTTGCCCGCACTGCCGTCTCCCAGCCCCATCTGCTCCTTGCTCAGTGTCAGTGCCCGGCAAGCCTGCCCTGCCCCGCCTCCCTGCCCACCCCGCACTGAGTGCTCACGCGTTCGGCAGCATCTCCTCAGGCAGAGAGAAGGAAAAGCCGTGCGAGCACGTTTCACTGCCTCCTGCCGTGTCCCGTGGCCCAGCAGTGTGCGGGGCCAGCGGCTGGGACACTTAGGCACCGCGTGTGCGGGTGCATGCGTGCAGACCCAAGTGGCCCTAGGGACCAGCTCCCTGCATGTACTGGGGGCACTGATGTCCCCTGTAGAAAACTGGGGGTCATGGAGACACAATGACATGCACACACACACACAGACTCAGCTGTGCATATGCAGGTGCACACAGACTCATAGATACACACACATGCATACAGCCCCACATAGCCCCCCTGGTTCACATATATGCAAAAAGACACACTTGCACACTGTGCTTCTTTCACACATACACAATGCCACTGCTGCATATACACAAACACACACCCTGTGTTTTTATCAGCTACACAAACACACCGTACCTCTGGGCACATGCAAACAACATGACAGTACTGTCACACACACGCACGCAATACCTTTGACACATGCACAAGCACACACATCCTCTGTCTCTCATGCACAAATACACACCAGGCCTCCGCAACACACAAGTGCTTGTGTGTGCGCCCAGCTTCAGTTCACCACGACCAGTAACAGGCAGCACACAGGTTCATACTCAACTGTCGCACATGCACCATGCATGCCAACCAGGACTGGTGACACAGGCACAGCTGTGAGCGCACTCTGACATGTCACACGCACACAAACACACGCAGAGCCACCACCACCTGGGAAACAGCACACAGCTTGCTGCACGCATGCACACGCACAGATTAGTGTGGGACATGCAAACACACTCGCAGCTGGTTGCACACACGCATGCGACCCCCTCCCCTCAGCCCGGGGCACGCACACACGTGCACGCACACACCTGGGCGGCGCGCACACGTGCAGGCGGGCGCCCTCCCGCGTGGGCAGGTCGTGCGGGGCCGGGCCGGGTCGGGCCGGCAGGCGGGGGGGCACTCACATGCGCTGGGGTCGCGGGCCCGGCGC